TGAATATATAGAATAAATGCATAAACTAAAACCATATATAAAAGAATGTCAGTAATTTAAATGAGGCATAAAAAAAGGGAATGTTGAATTAAAGGGGCATACACCTGACTTGAACTACAGTTGCAAGAAAAAGTATGTGAACCCCTTGGGATTATGTGGAGTTTTGCATGAATTGGGCATAAAATGTGCTCTGAACATCATCTAAGTCACAACAATAGAAGAACACAGTCTGCTGAACATAATACTACACAAACATTAGATGTTGCCATGGTTTAATTGCACATAACATGTAAACATTCACAGTGCAGGGAGGAAAAAGTATGTGAACCTTTGGACTTAATAAGTGGTTGACCCTCCTTTGGCAGCAATAACCTCTACCAAACGTTTCCTGTAGTTGCAGATCAGACATGCACAACGATCTGGAGTAATTTTGGACCACTCCTCTTCACAAAACTGTTTCAGTATAGCAATATTCTTGGGATGTCTGGTGTGAATCGCTCTCTTAAGGTCATGCCACAGCATTCCAATCGGGTTGAGGTCAGGACTCTGACTGGGCCACTCCAGAAGGCGTATTCTGTGCTGTTGCAGCCATTGTTTTGTTGAATTACTTGTATGCTTCGGGTCATTGTCCTGTTGCATCACCCATCGTCTGCGGAGCTTCAGTTGGCGGACAGATGGTCGTACGTTTTCCTGCAAAATGTCTTGATAAACTCTGGAATTCATTTTCCCATCAATGACAACAATCCGTCCAGGCCCTGAGACAGCAAAGCAGCCCCAAACCATGATGCTCCCTCCGCCATGTTTTACAGTGGGGATGAGGATTTGATGCTGGTGTGCTGTGCCTTTTTTTCTCCACACATAGTGTTGTGTGTTCTTCCCAAACAACTCAATCTTGGTTTCATCTGTCCACAGTATATTTTGCCAGTAGTGTTGTGGAACATCTAGGTGCTCTTTTGCAAACTTCAAACGTGCTGCAATATTCTTTTTGGACAGCAATGGCTTCCTCCGTGGTGTCCTCCCATGTACTCCATTCTTGTTTAATGTTTTCCTTATTGTAGATGTGTCAACAAAAATGTTAGCATGTGCCAGAGATTTCTGTAGGTCTTTAGCTGACACTCTGGGATTCTTCTTTACCTCATGCAGCATTCTGCGCTGTGCTCTTGCAGTCATTTTTACAGGACGACCACGCCTAGGGAGAGTAGCAACAGTGCTAAACTTTCTCCATTTCTCCATTCTCAAGACAGTCTGTCTTACTGTGGACACATGAACATCAAGGCTTTTGGAGATACTTTTTTAACCCTTTCCAGCTTCATGCAAGTCAACAATTCTTGATCGTAGGTCTTCTGAGAGCTCTTTTCTGCGAGGCATGGTTCACATCAGACAGTGCTTCTTGAAACCAGTAAAACCAAAACAGGTGTGTGTTTAAGGGCAGGACAGCTGTCAGCAACACATCCAATATCATTACACTGATTGAAGTCAAGGTTGGCTCACTCCTGGCTCCAATTAGCTCTGGGAGAAGTCATTAAGCTAGGGTATCACATACTTTTTCCTCCCTGCACTGTGAATGTTTACATGTTATCTGCAATTAAACCATGGCAACATCTAATGTTTGTGTAGTATTATGTTCAGCAGACTGTGTTCTTCTATTGTTGTGACTTAGATGACGTTCAGAGCACGTTATGCCCAATTCATGCAAAACTCCACGTAATCCCAAGGGGTTCACATACTTTTTCTTGCAACTGTACACATACCCCGAGGTATAAAAGAATAATTATCAATTAGTGGATCATATAGGGAAGACCATAAATACATACTACTAAAACCATAAGGCACAGTAAATCTATGATAAACTATAATGGATATTCTAAAATCAAGGCTAAGATAATAATACTCATGGAATAAAGAATGGGGGATAATACCAAGTATAAGTACCTGAACCAGATCTAGATCACAATAGTATAAATTCACTTTCTATAGCTGGTAACAAATAATATTCATGCGCAGGAGACCCTGATCTAAATGAATTTAGTCTTGGGTCATCTATATTCAAAGAAGAACAGGGCTGAGGGCCTCAAGTAGCTATGATGGTCACGTTCTTACTAAAGAGAACGCCAAAAAGGCCTTCGATTCGGTCGAGTGGGAATATCTATAGGAGACTCTGAGATTTGGCCCCAATTTCATTTCCTGGATTAGATGCCTGTATAGTGCGCCATTTGCGAGAGTACGTACTAATAATATTCTCTGTCCCCCTTTTGCTCTCTATAGGGGCACTCGGCAGGGCTGCCCGCTTTCGCTGGGCCTGTTCGCCCTGGCGATCGAGCCTTTGGCTTGCCTGATTCGCTCCTCCAAGACCTTACATGGGCTACTGGTGGGCGCTTGGGAGGATAGAATTTCCCTCTATGAGGACGACACGCTTATCAGCGCTGGACCTTATTGATCGCTTCAGCAGCCATTCCAAGATATGCATAAATTGGGAGAATCATTATTTCCTCTTGCGCCGGGCCCCTAGCCTGACATCTCTTTTGCCCCTATTAAATCGGTCTCCAAAGTTAAATACTTGGGTGTAATGGTGCAGTGTGCCGTGATGAAATACCTTTCAGACAATCTTCATCCTCTCCTACAACATTTACAGACTAAATGTAATGCCTGGTTTTCCCTTCCTATTAGCACCATAGGCCGAGTGAATCTATTTAAAATGATATTTCTACCTAAGTTTATCTACTTTTTTCGCATATGCCAGTGAAAATCCCACAGTCCTTTTTCCATCAGGTGGATGGTATTGTTTCTGTGTTTCTCTGGGCTGGGAGGACCCCTAGACTTGCCTGATCTACCTTGCACTTACCCATCAATCATGGCGGCCTGGCACTTCCTAAGCTTTTATACGGTTGAGTGGCTGTTTTGGTCACAGTGCACTGGTGGCTCTCTTGGCCTAGGGATAATGCAGCGGTGATCCCGGAGGCGGTAATATTAGGTTCCTATGCAGAACTTGGCAACCTAGTTTATAGAGGTCCGAAGTCCAACTCGGCCATCACAATTCCCATGCTGATGACCCTGAGAGTGTGGAGGCAGGCTAGGGTTCAGTACAATGTAAATAACTCCCATTCCCCTTGCACACCACTCTGGGGTAATCCTACACTCCCCCACTTGCACATGATACCGGATCCTGTAGTGTGGGCTCGGTATGGCTTCAAAACATTGAACTATATCATGCTTTGTGGTGCCCTGCTCTCCTTTGATGAACTCAAACGTAACCACGGCTTGCCTAACCAGATGTTTTTCCAGTTTTTCCAATTGCGCCCAGTTTCCTTCTCCCCCTGCCATCTAGAATGACCCTCTAGAACACTTGTTGTTACAGGAGGACTTGCATAAACCTTTATCCTCCCTCCATTCCTGGTTGTTACCTCTATCTACCCCTAGAATGCAGTCACTTTATGATAAATGGCACGCAGACCGTCCTTCCCTGTCGGAGGATGAGTGGGAGGATTGTCTTTTGCAATGCCTCCCTAACATTATCTTGGCCAGGGACCGCTTTATACAACTAAAATTTATTCATAGATGATCCTACACCCCGCGATGACTGGCTGCAATATATCCTGACAGATCGGCAACATGTCCTCATTGTGATATGGTGGTAGGCACGTTTCACCACATTTTGGGAATGTATGAAGCTACATCCCTTCGGACCGGGGTATTATATACTATTAACGTTGTTGGTAAATTGTCTATTCCCATGGTTCCTTCGATTATGCAGTTAGGCCTCCTTGACCTCATGGAAGCATCTAAGTATATCAAATTGTTTGTCTTCTATTCTCTTTATAATGCTAGATAAGAAATGTTGCTGTTTACCCTGCCCAACGATCTCGGGCTGAAAGTCGGCTATTAACGGTGCACTTCCTTTGTATAAACTTACATATACGAGTCCATATTGTCCAGAGAATATGGGCTGGGTTGGTGGAGGCACAGGGCATTACGGTATAGTCACTAGCGGTTTCATTTTGCGGTTGTGTCACGTTTATACGGTATGTTTGATTTGCTACTGCTAGTGTTACCTTTCTTTTCTACCCCCTCTTCCCCATCTTCCCCTTCTCGCTCCTTGCTCTGGCTCACACTCTGAGATTTTCTTCTTAACTCCTCTCCCTTGTGGGTAGTGCCATCTGACCTGACATACAGTATCTCACGGAAGTGAGTACACCCCTCACATTTTTGTAAATATTTTAATCTATCTTTTCATGTGACCACACTGAAGAAATGACGCTTTGCTACAATGTGACGTAGTGAGTGTACAACTTGTATAGCAGTGTAAATTTGCTGTCCCCTCAAAATAACAACACACAGCCATTAATGTCTAAACCACTGGCAACAAAAGTGAGTACACCCCTAAGTGAAAATGTCCAAATTGGGCTCAAAGTATCAATATTTTGTGTGGCCACCATTATTTTCCAGCACTGCCTTAACCCCCTTGGGCATGGAGTTCAGCAGAGTTTCACAGGTTGCCACTGGAGTCCTCTTCCACTCCTCCATGACGACATCACGTAGCTGGTGGATGTTAGAGACCTTGCACTCCTCTACCTTCCGTTTGAGGATGCCCCACAGATGCTCAATAGGGTTTAGGCCTGGAGACATGCTTGACCAGGCCATCACCTTTACCCCCAGCTTCTTTAGCAAGGCAGTGGTCATCTTGGAGGGGTGTTTGGGGTCATTATGTTGGAATACTGCCCTGTGGTCCAGTCTCCGAAGGGAGGGGATCATGCTTTGCTCTAGTATGTCACAGTACATGTTGGTATTCATCGTTCCCTCAATGAGCTGTAGCTCCCCAGGGTAGGGGATAAGGTAATGCAAAATGGAATTTGTGTTTTATGTGAATTGTATGAGTACAAGGTTGTTCTTCTGTTTTTTGTACTGAAAAGTTTAATAAAAGATATAATAAAAAAAAAATAAATGAAGCAACATTCTGTCCATTGCCCATACAGAGCACAGCCACCTACAGAAATGAAACTCACCTCTTTTCCTGGACCATCTTCAGCACGACGTTTGATGACAGTAATTCGCACATGATGTTTTTCTTTTCAATCCACTGTACCAATTGTTTCTTTTTTATATCTAAATCATTTTTCTCAATACTGGCAAGGAAAGACATGTCCTTAGTCTGAACATAACCTGGAAAGTAAAAGAAGATAAAGAAAAAAAATTTGGGGTGGAGGGCAGAAGGACTGAATCTTCTATTAGCTTCTTGGTTCTCTCGTGAACTCTTTCTGTAAAATTTCTTTATCACAGTTCTCAATTCCCCACATCTGTAGCAGTCATTTTGAGAGTATATTTTAATTTGCACAATATTGTCAATTTATGTTACAATGACTTGAATTCGTTATGGTGTTTAACCACTTGCCCACCAGAGGATTTACCCCCCTTCCTGACCAGGCTATTTTTTGCGTTACGGTGCTGCGTTACTTTAAGTGACAATTGCGCGGTCCCAAATGAAATTTATGTCCATTTTTCCCACAAATAGAGCTTTCTTTCTGTGGTATCTGATCGCCTGTGCGGTTTTTTATTTTTTGCACTATAACAAAAAAAAAAAAAAAAAAAAAAAAAAAACAATTTTGAGAAAAAAAACAATATTTTTGACTTTTTGCTATTAAACATGTCCAGTAAAAATAAAAAAAAAAAAATCAATCTTCGTCATAAATTTAGGCTAAAATGTATTCTGCTACATAGCTTTGTTAAAATAAATCCCAATACATGTACCGTATTTTCCAGCGTATAAGGCGACTAGGTGTATAAGACGACCCCCTAATTTTCCAGTTAAAACATAGGTTTTGGGCTATACTCGCCGTATAAGACTACCCCACTTCCGAGGCAACACCATTTAAAAACATCAGATTTTTTAAATTGAAATGGTTATGACTTACCGGTACTTAAAATCCTTCAAAATCCTCATGTTCATCCTCTGACATCATAAGTTCATGAATGACATCTTGTGATACATTTGTAAGACAGTTATCATATGGATCAAATTCTAAATCAGATGGTTACCGCTGGATGTGCGGTAATACGGTAGCTTCGGCTACATACAGTATACAGTATATATACAGCCCGCTGGATGTGCGGTAATACGGTAGCTTCGGCTACATACAGTATATATACAGCCCGCTGGATGTGCGGTAATACGGTAGCTTCGGCTACATACAGTATACAGTATATATACAGCCCGCTGGATGTGCGGTAATACGGTAGCTTCGGCTACATACAGTATATATACAGCCCGCTGGATGTGCAGTAATACGGTAGCCTCGGCTACATACAGTATATATACAGCCCGCTGGATGTGCGGTAATGTACATACAGTATACCGCGCTGAGCCAAGCTGGCTCAAAACAAATGTCCCTATGACAGATTAATCTGTCAGCCCGCTGGATGTGTGGTATATACAGTATACTGAGCCAAGCTGTTTCAAAATGTACCGGTACATCCCTACTGTAATCAGACCGCTGGATTTGTGTATGTACGGTAGCTACGGCTACATACAGTATACACTGGGCCTATCACGGCGAGCAATGTATTCTACTAATGAATACAATGGCTGCTTGGATTGGCTGAGGTTGTGACATCATCAGTCCACCTCTCTGACTCAGCCAATCCGAGCAGGGTTTGTATTCATTAGTAGAATACATCACTCGCCGTGATTGGCCCAGTGTATACTGTATGTAGCCGCAGATACCGTACATACACACATCCAGCGGGCTGATTACAGTAGGGACGTACCGGTACGTTTTGAAACTGCTTGGCTCAGCGCAGTATACTGTATATACCACACATCCAGCGGGCTGATAGATGAATCTGTCATAGGGACATTTGTTTTGAGCCTACTTGGCTCAACACGGTATACTGTATGTACATTACTGCACATCCAGCCAGCTTGACCCAAACAAACTCAAGGTTCACATTTTATACCCCGCATATAAGACGACCCCCAATTTTTGGGGTATATTTTTAAGTATAAAAAGTAGTCTAGCCAGAAAATACTGTAAATTAATTGGTTTACATGAAAGTTATAGCGTTTACAAATGGCGGCATATATAATGGAATTATTATTTTTTTTTTATTAGTAAAGCATTCTGACATAGGGAGGGAACTGACTTGGTGTCACTGACATCCCCAGTGACACCAATACAGTGATCAGTGCTAATAAAAAAGCACTGACACTGTACCAATGGCACTGGGCAGGAAGGGGTGAACATGTGGGGTGATCAAAGTGTTAACTGTCTGCGTTTTACTATGGGGCTGTGTGCGCTTTCCACTGTAAGCACACTGCTTTGTATGGTTCTGCTATGCAGAGCCATACAAAGCAGTGTGCTGGAGCTGACTGGGGAGAGAACTGTATTGTTTACATACAATTCTCTCCCCCCATCAGTATTACTCGGTGATCACCGGGTGCCGGCGAGTAATCACCAGCCGGGACCTGGTGACTGACAGCAAAGGCTGTGAATGGCGGAGTGAGTAGGGCGCGCGCCCCCTACCCAGAAATGCAAGATCACGTATAAAGCAGTATTTCTGCTATAAATATGCAAATTCAAAACAAAAAAGAATCATTCAGTGCTGTGAAAAAGTATTTGCTCCCTTTCTGATTTTTTTTTTTTTTTTTTTTGTATATTTGTCACACTTAAGTGGTCCAGATCATCAAATTTTAATATTGCACAAAAGATAACCCCAGGATATACAGAATGCAGTTTTTAAATGATGATTTCATTTAAGGGAAAAAAGCTATCCAAACCTGCCTGACCCTATGTGAAAAGGTAATTGCCCCCTAAACCTAATAACTGGTTGTGCCACCCTTGGTAACAATAACTGCAATCAAACGTTTGCGATAACTGGTAATAAGTCCTCTGTGGAGGAATTTGGACCCACTCATCTTTGCAAAATTGTTTTAAATTTAGCCACATTACGTTGGAGGGTTTTCGAGAATAAACTGCCTTGTTTAAGGTTATGCCACAGCATCTCATTCGGATTCAAGTCTGGACTTTGATGAGGCCACTCCAAAACCTCAATCTTGATTTTTTTTTTTTAGCCATTCAGAGGTGGATTTGCTGGTGTGTTTCAGATCATTGTCCTGCTGCATAACCCAAGAACACTTGAGCTTGAGGTCACGAACTGATGGTCAGACATTCTCCTTCAGGATTTTCAGGTAAAGCGCATAATGCATGGGTCCATCAATTATTGCACGTTTCTCATCTGTTCTTGAATTTCTTTAGATTGTGGCATGATTTGTTGGTTTTTTAGATCTTTTAGCATGCATCATTGTCAGACAGATTCTATTTAAGGGATTTCTTGATACAACAGGTCTGGCAGTAATCAGGCCTGGGTGTGGCAAGTGAAATGTTCCCTTAATAAAAGAAATCATCATTTAAATATTGCATTTTGCATTTACTCGGGTTATCTTTGGTTAATATTAAAATTTGTTTGATGATCGGAATAATTTAACTGACAAATATACAAAAATAATTAAATAAATAAAAATCAGGCAGTAGGCAAATACTTTTTCCCAGCACTGTACATACTCACCTATATGGCTGCAGCATCAGTCTAATGCGGCAGCTGGCTCCTGCCAGCTCGAAGACCGAGAAATGAGTGATCACATGATCGCAGATCACTCAGTTTTCCAGTCTTCAGTGAGCAGAGTAGTGACTGTCAGCCACATAGTCTCTATTCCGCCCCTCCAGCACTCACTGGAGCACCAAGCTGTGGAGGGTGCAGTAGCAGCTGGATCATTGCGCTGAGAGGCTGAGCCAGATGTCATTCATGGAGCTGGGTGGAACCTGACCTTAAAGTCGGCATTCTTCCAGAGCCTGGACTGGCTCTGTGACTAAAGCCCACTGTCGGCTGAAATTAGTATACTCCTGTGACCCAGAAGAGATGTATGGCCAAAAAAACTTTGATAGTACCCCAAGTTCTGGGGCCCTCAAAACAAAACTAATTTACAGGCCTACTGATACCAAAGTAGGATGCTTGCATTCACAAACATTTTGTGATGTTAAGTTTTCTGTAATTGTTCTAAAATGTAATTTGCACCTTCTTTTAGGTCTTGCATATTGGCTCACATATACCTTTTGCGCACAAGTGTCAGGGAATGGCTACTACTGTAACCAAATGTATTAGTATATTGCAGAATGATGTTTTTAGGGGTTAGTTTACCTTTCCTGCTCATTTCCAACAAAACAATGGCTGACACAATGTCTTTAAAGGCGAAGTTCACCTTTAGGAGAATGTTACACCCATATTTAAGGTGTACGGTGTAACATGTTTCTATCCACCCACCTCCGGCAATGGTTCTTCTTCCCTCATCTGCTGTCACTTTAAAAAAACAGTGCAGCCAGGTGGGGCTCCGCCCACATGGCCCTGTCATTCATTCACAGTTTTCTGTGAATGAATTGACTATAGGTACCATCTGCTATTGCCGCAGACAGCTTGTAGTTGTCAACGAACTGCAAGGGCTCTGGTGAACGAGCTCGTACTTCACCGATTCTTCCTACCTTTCAGTAAGTCTGCCTGTATGGTAAGACAGCTAACAGAGTCTGCAGGATACAGGCATTGAATTCGCGATCTGCTGAACATGGGTGCAATGCTTTACAAACTACAATGCTAAAAAATAACAAAATGCAAATTTTCTTACCTGCAAAAAGATGTACTTTTTTTTTTTTTTAGAAAATGTGAACATAGCCTTTAACACTTTTTAAAGCACAGACCTGCTTTTATTAAGTTGGTGATAGGCTCAGCACAGGGGTATGGAATATTTTTTAAAAAAAACTATTTGTCCAAGGAACTAAAAATTGGGGTTCCAATCTACTTGTTCCTCATGACAACATACTTATCTTGATGAAAAAAAATAATTTTAACCAAAACTATTCAAACAAGGTTTTAAATGTTGCACTGTTTATCTCTTACTCACCTCCCTGCCTGTCTCCAGCACCAGCGGGACTAGCAGGAAGGGGAGAGACCATGCAGTGTGACAAGCACTGATTGGGTGCTCAACAAGAAAGGGGAGTGTTGGGCTCGCTTAACAGTCAGCAGAAGTGCATCTGTTGAATGAGTAAATGAGGCAATGGCCCCAATGAGGGGGAAACCCCCCCCCCCCCCCCAAAAAAATAAAACTTTATTCCTTCAGAATTACCCTCGCACACAGAAGCACTTGGATGCTCAGTACAAGCGCATGCTGAGCAGCCAAATCATGCTTCGGTGTCTTCTCTGTGAGGCTTCATGAACACAAGGGCATTTTGGGATTGCGACTCAATCACTGATTCTGCCCATAATCTCAAAAACGCACTACAATCACAAAAAGCGGATTTAGGTGCCATTTTTTTCAATGGCGCCTAAATCGCTGTGCAGTTTTGTCACAACAATTTATTGTGCTGCGCAACGCATAAAGTTTGTCACTCAAAAGAGTTCAAAGGTGCGATTCTGATCTGAATAAAAAAAGAGCAGGTTTGGAATGATGCGTTCCAAACTCGCTCAGCATAGAGTATAGTGGCATTCTTAAATAACTGTTCACATAAGATGCGATTCATAGCAAGTTTTGCCTAGAAGTGGCTAGAAGGAAGATTTGTACAGAAGTGGATGGAAGGTAGTTTTGTAGAGAAGAGAAGAGAATAGGCTACGTTTCTAGCATATGAAGGCAGAATGGAATGGAGAAGAAAATAAAGAGCAGTGGTATGTATTGAGCTGGAGATGCTTGAATGCATGGTAGATTTTGTTGGAAATGAGCAAGAGTAGAAATAGCCCTTTAAAGAGATGCTTGTCACCAGTTTAACCGCCTCCTGCCCTCCGTATAGTGTAATGACGGGCGCAAGGCGGTTTTCTCGTTCTGGGAGGATGTCATATGGTGTCGTCCCACTTCTAACCGCACGTGCGCGGCTCCGGGGGCGCGGCGATAGGTAGTGCGTTGTGTCCCGCGGACACAGCGGATCACCGATCTACGGAAAGAGCCGAAGATGTCGGCTCGGTCATGTGATCAGCTGTGTCCAATCACAGCTGATCACATGTAAACATGGAAATGCCAGTTATCGGTATTTCTCTCCTCACGAGCTGTCACGCTGACAGCTCGAGAGGAGAGCTGGTAATCGCCATTCCTTGGAGGGGACATGTGCACTGATCATCAGGGCACTGATGATCAGTGTGCCCTGATGATCAGTGCGGCCCCAGAAGTGCCACCTGTCAGTGCCTATCAATGCCACCTCAATGCCTACTAGTGCACATCAATGCCACATATCAGTGCCCATCTGATCATCAGTGTCACCTATCAGTGCCAGTCAGTGCCACCTATCAGTGCCAGTCAGTGCCACCTATCAGTGTGCATCAGTGCCACCTATCAATGCCCATCAGTGTCGCCTAACAGTGCTGCATCAGTGATTCCTGTCAATGCCCATCAGTGCCACCTACTAGTGCCTCCTCATCAGTGCCCATCAATACCACCTATCGGTGCCCATCAGTGCAGCTATCAGTGCCCATCAGTGCAGCCTCATTGTGCACATCAGTGAAGGAGAAAAATCACTTATTTACAAAATTTTATAACAAAAACTAAGAAAAAACATTTTTTTTCAAAATTTTCAGTTGTTTTTGGTTTGTTTAGCAAAAAATAAAAAACCAGATGTGATTAAATACCACCAAAAGAAAGCTGTACCCGTTTAAAAAAAAAATGTCATATGGGTACAGTGTTTACAGTGCAATTGTCATTCAAAGTGCGACAGCACTGAAAGCTGAAAACTGGCCTGGGCAAGAAGGGGGTATAAGTGCCCTGTAGGCTAGTGGTTAAAAACAAAAAAAAAAAAAACGCAGGCTTGAGCAATAGAAAGTATTAAATCAACATTATAGTGTATCAGCATGATAGCCAGGCATCAAGCATTTTCTTGTAATGCCAGATAGCATCTTTTATATGGTTTTCCTTAAGAGCAAAACTAGTTTTGGATATACTATGGAAGTATTAACATACCCATCAGGTTTTATTGCTGTCTGTGCCTCTGTTGAGGAGATTCACTAGCCACTGGGACCAAGATCTTGTTCACACTGTTTGCACACTAAATGATCCATTTTAGCATACTGGCAGCTGCCATTTTTGAATGCAGCAAGACAAAGATGTCTGTACGGCTTACTTTTTTTTTCCACTTTTTTTTTTTTTTTTTTTTGGAGGTGCACAGAGTGACACTTTGGGGTTGATTTACTAAAATTGGAGAGTGCAAAGCCTGGTGCAGCTGTGTACGGTACCCAATCAGCTTCTAAATTCAGACTGCTCACTTAAGCTTTGGCAATAAAACCTGGAACCCGATTGGTTTCTATGCAGAGCTGCACCAGATTTTGCACTCTCCAGTTATAGTAAATCTACCCGTTCATGTCTCCACTGCTGTGTGGTGATCCTAGCTTCCTGAGTGCTGCAGTAAAATTCAACATGTCTGTATCTTGCAACAGCTCACTGCACCACACCTCCGGCCTGCATTGAGTGTGAATGGGGCACACAGAAAACAATTGTGCAGAAATACGCCAGTCGCTGCACTATGTGTGAACAAGCCCTGAAAGTGAGGTAAAAATTACAAAATTTTGGAATTGTCATGAGCCAACTGTCTGAGATTTCCTTCATACCAGACAATGGAGACATCAGTTCCAGTGACAACTGTCTGATAGATTTCCTTCACTTGCTGTTGTGTTTACAGGGCATGAAGTGATAAGAGATATGTCCAATGGGGCACGGAGAGAGAAAAAAAAAAAAAAAAAACTGATGAAGGTCTTAACCATTACTAATGCTATCCAAGATGTAAAAGAAATGTATGGTTTTGGGTTTATATACATTTTAATGTCAGTCTGCACACACCTATTTGTAAATGTGGATTTATTTGTAGAATACTCACTGTGGCCAGAAGAGAGTTTCTGCTTCTCCCGCAACTTGGTCTGCTCTTCAAAGAGTTGTTTGCCAGTCATCAGCTTGTATATTGGAGGATCGGCATTTTCTCTGAACATTACCAATTTTAGGCCACGCTCTTCCATGGTTTGTATTGCTTTCCTTCTGCTCATCTTGCCCATGTCTTCTCCATTTTCACTTATCACTTGGATAGAGCTATAAGGGATTAATCTTCCCACATTTCCAATAACCTTTTTAGCATTGGGGTTTTCTTTTTTCTTTACAATGGGCTGTCCTCTTTGCCCCTGATCAGCAGTGCAGTGCAATCTTATTCCAGCCACCAGCACTCCTGTCTGCACACAGGCTGCAGGGTTCCATGGCTGTGGACTCAGTACCTTAAACCACTGACTGAAAAATCCAGGGTGTCTCCCAAAGGAAGGTAGTCCTTGATTGGCAGCTTGACAAACAAGTTTCTTCAAGTGAATCCTACACAGTGACATCCTATGAAAAATATCATTATTATATTATACAGGATTTATATGGCGCCAACAGTTTGCTCAGCACTTTACAATATAACGGGAGACAATACAGCAACAATAGAGTTCAATACAAGAGGGTTAGGAGGGCCCTGCTCCTTGGAGCTTACAATCTAATATTATGAGTAAAACACATTCTATTTAGATAATTCCAAGGACTTATGGACCAAGATGTTTTTCTACCATTTACACTCTGGTACATTTTTGAGTCTTTCAAACCTTTAGCAAGCCTGAATACAGAGGAAGGTAATGATCACGAGTAGATATTCCAACAGGAAAGTCCTACAGGAATTTATAGGGTCTAGCTATAAATTCTTCTAAACAAGATTCACACATGGGTGAAAATTGTGTGATTCTTGGTAAAAAAAAAAACATTGATAAATAGACTCTTATGTTTTTTTTATGTTTGCAAAATAGACTTTTAGACTAGGTCCACATCTCTGTGGCTCTGTGAGCCACCGTTTGCATGGACACAGTAGCCCATTCATTTGAATGGGCGGCAGTGCCTCCTAAAATACAGGGCAAAGGTCCCTGCAGCATTTCAGAAATCGCAGCCCGCACGGACACTGCAAATGGCTGCTACGATTTCCAGTGCATGCAGGTGCCATTAGGATTAACTAGGATTAATGGAATCAGCACAGAGCTCCTACAGTTTTCTATGGGGGTGGTTGCGGCTGCGGGAGAAGGTGCATTCCCACAGCGTTATCACCCGCACAGATGTGGGCCTAGCCTAATATGTGAAAATGCACATACTGTATGTACATTTTTATTAAGTGAGTTTTAATGCCAAGGACAAAAATTGTCCTTTTAAGGAAAGAAAAGAATATGAGCTTGGATGTCGACTAGAAATAAGTTTAAATGATGCCCAAGCTCACTGACCTCCTGTGAGAGGCAAGCCTTAATGTCCTGCCTCCTACTAACCCCTTCCCAACCACTCTTTTCCAACCTATTTAGCCTGCTACCATGTTCTGTAATAACGGTTATTTAACATTACTATTTCCCCTTCCATTAAAAGATACCTGTCACGGTGTGCCAGGCTACCCTTCTCCCTCACTGCAGCTTCTCCCACCTCTCCCCCTCTCATCCTGTAAGAGGTGGGAATCAGTGTCACGTAAGCCCGGCTCGCTCCCTTCCCCCTCGCCGCACACAGCCGTGAAGCAGGCTGTGCAGGATGAGGGGACCACTGTGACCCCCCCACCTCGCCAAGAAATCCTGGCAGGGGGCCGCTGGGAGGTCTCTGCACGCCCCCAGCGGGCGCAGGGCTTCCCCGCGCTCGGTGCTCCGCCAGAGACAAAGGTTGCGCTCTCTGCGCATGGCTGGAGTGAGGAGGGCGTGCCTCGTTACCCCGGCAACATGGCGCTGGGCCGGCCGTTGCAACGAGGAAGTGTCATGCGCGGCTTTTAAAAAGGCCAGCGTGAAACCAGGCTCTCTCTCTCCCTTCCTCCTATGCTGGCCGGCCGCTCTCCCCTTGGCCCGCCGCCACTGCTGTCGTGGGAGGTCCGGGTGGGGACCGGGCCTCCGCAGGCATCTCCGCTGACCGCTCTGCATGAGCCCCCTCTTCCAACGTCAGACCCCATGGCCATGCTACCCCCGCTGCTGTTCCTGGTCGCTGCGAGGGCCCCTGCCGCTGATTGCTGGGCCCCTGGAGGAGCTGGCCGCTGTGAGGGCCCCTGCTGCTGATCGCTAGGCCCCTGGAGAAGCTGGCCACTGTGAGGGCCCCTGCTGCTGATTGCTGGGCCCCTGGAGAAGCTGGCCGCTGTGAGGGCCCCTGCCTGCTGATCGCTGCTGTCCCTTGAAATGCTGGCCGCTGTGTTGAGTCCCCGTGAGCCCGGTGTCCCTAAAAGCTGGGTGGGAGCTGTGCTAGGCCAGACTCCACAGCTGGAGTCCCGTTGAGTCCCTGTGAGCCCACTTACTGTGGGTGTCACTACGAGCCGCATGTCGCGGAGTGCCATGAACTGTTCTGATTTGAGTGTCTTTCAGAGTTCAATAAAGCTTTGTGTGTTCCCCATCTTCTTTGTGTGTTCTGTCCTGCCTTCGCTTCTGTTACAATACCTTTATAAAGCCAAACCAAGTTACACATTGTACCTTTTATCCTCTTTACAAAGTTTATTGCATCGTATCGTTTTATTGTAAAAAATTAAAATTTGCATGTAAAATACAAAATCCTAATAAAAAAACTATTGAAACCAAAACTGCTGTCAGAGAACTGTCCAAAACAGTCATGACCTGCTGAATCGATCAAAATTTGAACTGTGGGTGGGCCTGGTGGCACCACTCAGCTACAAAGTTTAATTGAAAACTTGAAGGAGCCAGGTGGAAAACTGACAGCCAAACAATGACTGCATCCAATCAGATGGAGTCACTGTTCAGGTATTCAGACAGCTGCAGATGCCAACAACTGGATATTCTTCCATCTGTGCGGTTTAGCATGGTTAGGGGATTCAATTTGGTTTCTCTTGTTCAGCCTACAGGCTAATCGAGAAAAATCATGCATATAAAGTTAGAATTAAAATCATATGTACTGTATCAAGTGAGCTTTCACACCTGAGTATGAGCACCTTTTCTGTGGTCTGGACCTGCAATCACATGTGAAAAATCCTTCTGGGTGATACGGTTTCCTAGCGCAACCATATAGATACATAGTTTTCTATCTCCAACCTCCAGACAGTGGGGTATTTAGGTTTTGAGCTGCCCTAAGCAACACAAAAATCGACTGCCCCAATGGACACCGACCAACACCCCCCCCCCCTCCCTGCGGAGAGAGCCCGATATTGACCAACAACACCCCTGCCCTCCATTCAGGAGAGCCTTCCACACTCATCTTCAAAGCTCTGGACATCTCTGGGAACAGGAGTCAGGCTCTACATACACCATCAAGCAGTCTGCAGCCTCTCTCGGATCCCACCTGGTTCCCATGCACGTGTGTCCCTTCTTTCATCCCTTCTTCTGCGGGGAAGTGCCCCCCTGAAAAATGCCACCCTAGGCAAGTGCCTTGTGGTAAATACGCCCCTGCCTCCAGAACAGCATCTGCCTCTATGGAATATAAAAGATAAACAGAAATTAGCTTGCTAGCCTATTATTATTGTTTCTAATAACAAGAGATTGTCATTTTGTTTGCTGCTGTGAATAGTTATAGTAATGTAAAATTAACCACACACTTACAAGCCATCATAAAAAATATTTTAAAATAAATTTCAATCCCAGTTATAAAAGATAACACAATAATTGGGTTCCAGCAGACCACAAGTTAAAGTGGAGTTCCGACCCCCGCCACCTCCCAAAAAAAAACAAAACATTAAAAGTCAACAGCTACAAATACCGTAGCTGCTGACTTTTAATATGAGGGCACTCACTCCAAGCCGATTGTTCAATGGGCTGTCACCACCTTCTTGACTAAAGGAAACTGAAAGTGAAGCCTTGCAGCTTCACCTCCTGTTTCCTACTGCGCATGCACGAACCGTGCTGCATTTGTGAATGGGCTGCAGTCCTCTGCGACCTTGAAAGTGTCCCAGAGGGCTGCGGGGGAGAGGGCAAACTTTTAGTTGGCCACAGCGAACTGAGCTGGTAGTGGGAGCAGGTACCTGTTAAAACCAGGTTCCCCTCCCCCTCAAAAGGCACCAAATGTGGTAGCGGGGGGGGGGGTATGGGGGAGACAGAAAAGCGGAGCTTCTGCTTTTGGGTGGAACAGCGCTTTAAAATGCAAGAAAGAGAATGTATTTTGGCTCTCCTGCACTGAACTATAAAACCTGTGCAATGCAATACAGTAATAAATGCACATTGATATAACGCATTAAAAGCGTATCAACTTAAGTGCCTATATATGTGTGAACGCAGGCTAAATGCACTGGATGTGGTGGGAAGCCAGCTTAAAGGAGATCTAAAAGCAATTTGTTTTAACATTTTGGATAGGGTAAGTGGGGGTCTAGCCCGGTCAGTTTTTTTGCCATCTGTGTCCCATTGTGGAGATTTCCCTTCACCTCCTGTGCCATAGTCACAGCAAGAGGTGAGAAAGAATCCTTGTGTCCCTTTCTCTTGACAAACGTGACAGCCTTCCTTTATGTCAATTTTGTGCCCACTCCTTGTTTCTGTAAGCATTTGTATGTTATTATGTGGTGTGTATTTTGTGATTTGTTTTTTTTTTTTTAGTTTCCTTTCCAGTTTATTCCTCTGCTCCTGCTGGTTAGAAGATCCCTGTTTTGGGGATCATTTGGAGATATGTAGCTATGCCTTATTCTAATGGTTTTTTTTTCAACTCAAAACAGCGCAAAACACACAAAAATCAATCTATAAAATACCCAACCTCTAAGTAATATTAGTGCAAATATTACAATTCATATATAAGTGTCAAAAAAACTAAATAATTTGTGACACATACAAAAAACAAGAAAAGTCCAGTGACATGTTCAAAAAAAAAAAAAAAAAACGTCCCGTGATAAAAAAACAAACTTATATTTTCATAAATTTCTTCAGTGCCAATAATAGTCCTTCCACCATCCACCAGTGCAAAACCAACATGAACCGCACTCACCAGATGTTTGGTGAGTATAACGCCTTCCAGGATTATTAAGGGCTCCTGGACCCCCTTTTTTTTAACCTCCAAATATTGCCTCCTCTAGGACATAGAAACCTCCTCCGATTGCTCCCCTCACCGACTCCACCAAAATTCAGGAAGAAGAAAAACCAAATAGCATGATACCGTTATGACTTTCAATCTTAGAAAACTTTAAACCAGACCACTCACATTTTAAAAGATATTAACCAGCATTTTATTGATGTAAAAACGATTTTCCAGATCTTATAATAAGACCCCACAGCCAGGTACCACAGCAGGATGACAGACCTCAGAAACAGCTTCCTCCACTAGGCAAGATGGCCCCTGGAACACACCGCTCGGCGTCCGTTCCACTCACCGGAAACGACGTTGGACGCCGGGACGGCCAGCCAGAAATACATCAACGCGTTTCGCC